TGAAATCCTCCTGCCTCAGCCTCCCAAGTCCCTGGGATTACAGGCATGGAACATGGCACCCAGCCATCTCAATTTAAAGAAAAATTTTTCTCCAAGAAGGACTGGCTAAAGCCCCAACGTATTTAATTTTTTTTCCTTACAAAATAAAAAGTGATTCTTTGTTTTTGTTATTTGTACAGAAAATATTATACTGTACTTTGTTAAATAAATACCAGAAATTTTCAAGATTTTCTTTAATTCCCTATTAGGCCAAGAGGGAAAGAGTAGAAAGAAGTTAAAGGAGACTCAGAGGGGAAATTGGACGATGACCTGGAGGCAGGAAAAGCCAGCAGGGAAGGAGCATGGGATGATGAGACAGAGGAAGAGGGACAGGGAAAAGAGAAGGACTTTAAATCTTTTCTGCATCTCTTGGAAAAATGCCAAAGAGAGGACTCAACAACACTGCTTAAAATCCCCATCTGCCTCACATACATGTTGCAATAGGTTCTCAAAGATCTCTTCCCTGTGAAGAGCCTCCTCTCCCCACTCCAGGGCCTCTCCCCTTAGGTATCATTATTCTTCACCCACAAGTGGCTCTTGGTCCTTTCCATTACCTCAAACAAATTAATGAACATATTCATCATGCTTCAAAGTCCCCTCAGACCCCTTCCTCATCCCTAGCTCTTGCCTCTTCTCTGCTTTCTCTTACTACAAATCAGTTTGCATTTTCTCCAGTTTTATATAAACGGAATCACACAGCCTGTGTTCTTTCATGGACTGGTTTCTGTCACTCAGCCTGATGTCTTCGAGATACACCTTATAATTGCTGAATGGTATTCCATTGTATATGTGCACCATAGACTTCACTTTGAAGGTCAGGAATATAAGACCCAGAGAAGGGAGGAAATCTGACGAATCTGAAGAAAATCCAGAATGGGGCCAGGCCAGTTGGGGAAGGTGCCTATTTCCCTAAAACAAAAATTCGGTTTAATGCAGTATGGAAGAATGTGGCCATATGACCACATGAATGACCAAATGAAATGATGTTTGTTCCAATCTCTGTCTCCAGTTCTGACCAACTCCCAGCCACACAGGGAACTGAGACAACTTACAGAAGCATAACTTCTGGGGAGAGGGGGACTCAGAAATGATTTGACTGTTGGTCTTTTCTGCACCAAACCCTTGAAGAAGTTGGGAATTGAGGAGAGTGTCCTAAACTATTAATACGTTTGGGGTTAGATCAAATGAGACAAAGGACTTTATAATGTTTTATAAACCGTAAAGCCTAAATCAAGGGTAAGATTTTTTTCTTTCCATCAAGAATCACCTCAAGATGTATTTTATGCTCAGATTAAAATTTAACTTTTAAGATCACTGATCCAGGAAAAACTAAACAAAACCAAAAAGTGGGAAGTATTTAAAGAACCATCAGTGAAGCAACTCAAAGAGATTATAATATTATATTTATAATCAGCAACTGCGCGTACCTCTGTAGGAGGAGACTTAAAGTTCTTTGGGTCCAGGATAAATCCCACAGAAGTAACTCTGTGACTCCAACCTCCAGTGTCACTCCTTCCCATGCCTAAATTGACAATGGAGCTTTCTTTCCATCTATAACTACTCAGCTCTTTTGTAACAAGCTTCTATCCTGTTTCAGAATCCTCTGGTGTCCTCAATCTGGTTGGACATTGGGAACAACAGTCTAAAGAATTCTGAGTCTTTGAGACAAAACTTCTAGTAGCCTCTGCAATACCCTCCTCTGGTACTATCTTTCGACTCTTGTGGTCTGAAGTGTGGGCTGCAGATTGACAGTACCCACATCACCTGGGAATATGTTAGAAATGCAAATATTCAACATTCCCTCCACCCAATTTCCTACTGAATTGGCATATGCATGTTAATAAGATCCCCTAGGTATAGTGCATGTACATCGAAGTATGAGAAGCTCCTGTCTAGATGTGATTCTTCAACTTTCAAGTGCGTCAGGATCCCTAGAGGATGCCTTGGCTGGGCTGGGAAGACCTAACCCAGGAAGCACAGTCTGAGAAGCACTGCTGTAGTTGATTTCACAGAGATGAAATGAATCCTTTCCCATTGTGAACGTGATGGAGAATCCCTATACCTTCCAACTCAGCCCAAATGAGAATCCAGGAAAGCTAGCACTCCACAGGGCCTCTTCCCTTGGGTTGTTTTGCTGCTGCCACCTGCTCAAACAGAGCTGTAGACAAGAGGTTCTAGGGCCTCTGTACCAAAGCCAGAGTAAATGGAATGTGTTTTTCCCCACCTTTAAAACAAACAGAGCCTGAGTTGCTGGTGCTGAGAGGTTGAATACCAGGAGGTCCCTTTCTGAGGACAGGCTAGGACAAGTTGATGACACTGTACTGCCCCTTTTCTAGGATGTTCTTTATAAAGACTCTTTAAGTCCAAGACTTTTGTTTGAGTCCTACTTGTGAATGCTCAGAGTTCTTAAGTTCGCTGGTGCTCTGCACAGCACAACAGCTATATACTCAATACAAACTACAAGTATAGAAGCTGGGGATTAGCTCAGTGGCAAAGAGGTTGCCCAGCACATGAGGTCCTGGGTGTGATTCTCAGCACCACAAAACAATGACAAAAAAGGAAAAAATCCCAAATGAAACAAATCCTTAAGTTCAAATGCCTCAGGCCAAGCATGACACCCTTACCCCAATTTAAAATCTGTATATTTGATTCCTACTGCCTTTGTGCTGCAAAGATATGCCTAAATGTGCAGAAAAAGAAATCCTGAAGAAGCAAAATTGTTCTCAAATAGAAATGTTTACCAAACATTGGGTCCAGGATAAATCCCAAAGAATTGAGATGAGGTTTGACTGGCATAAGCCCACTGGATGGAGAAGGCAAGCTCTGTTTTCACCAAGAAAACCAAATTATAAATTTGTATCCTAGATAAGCTACACATAGAAATAGTAGTTGTCACTACTATTTTTGTAAGCTTTTTAAATATATTTTATTTTTAACTTCTTATATGCCAGGGTCTATGCTAAATGTTCACAAGTATCGTTTCAGTCCTAGCTATGAGTTAGTATCACTATTATCTGCATATTGCAGATGTGGGAATTAAGAAACAGAATCATTATACATTTTGTCAAAGGTTAGAAAGGTAGTTTGGCCCCCAAATGTGCCCTCTCAGCCGTAGACCACATGAGGCCAGTTAGAGAAGAGCATGGTGGAATGGGGAGAGAGTCGTCATTATTATGCACAGGAGGGTTTTTTGTTGTTGGGTTTTTTTTTTCTTTTTTGGTGTGTGTGTGTTCTTTTAAGCATGGGAACTCTTTCTTTATTTGCATGAGGGTAGGAGACAAAAATCTTATCAAGAGCCCTATTTTCTAAGTCACATCCGATCCTAGCTCTTCCAATAATTCCAATCCCAGGTCCACTCCCTGACCGCTTTGCACCTGGGTTAACTGAGAATCTTCTCCCCAGTTTCAGTCATGGAGGATAGGCTAGGATCAAAACATGGGTGTGTCCCCCAAAGGGAATGGCTCTGGGCACATACAGCCTTTGAGGGATGGACAGAATACTTTAAGTATGATGAACACTACTGAGCACCGGGAAGCACATGGGAGGGGGAGCTTGGAAAGTGCTATAATAGGGAATTCAGGTAGAATGCAGAATCTGAACACCTGATGTCTACCCACACAAAGGTCCAGTCCACTTTGGAACTGTGTGTACGTGTGAACCTGTGCAATAAGCATTAGTGAATTAGTATTAGTTTAATTTAAGGAAATAATGGATTGGATATGTGTTGAGGATATAAGCACAGTGTTTACCCAGGCCTTAGCTTATGGGGCCTGCATCAGCTCTAGGCCTCTAGGAAGCACTGAAGACACTCTGAGGCTTGGATTGTTCCCCAACAAACCACTATTCCCTGCTCTCTCACAGGGGGAACTCAGATGGTCCTGTCCAGGGACCCAGGTGGCAAATGACTGGCTGCTCTCTCTGTACATCTGAAAGGACTGTGTCTGCTTTCTGCATCACCAAACTGGCTGAGTTCCCCAAGGTCAGCCTTGAGGAGAGAACTGCATGCCAGGCTCATCTGTTAGGGCTCTAAACCTCAAGAGTGGCAGGAATCCAAGAGGCCATGTCAGTCCCTTTCATGTGGTCCACTTAAGTCAATGACTAGAAGGAAGAGGCAGGGGTTCTCACCTTTAAAAGGACATTTTAGCACTTTAATCTTTAAATTGCATTTGCCATTAGGGCAGATTTTCTTCCAGTCATTTTTCCTTCGCAATTTTTCCTTTTCGTTTTTTCTTCTTTCCTTTAAAATAAATAAATAAATAACTGAATTCAGTGTATATTCAATTTTGTGTCTTATTTGTCTTTTATATTTTATAAGTATATAAGCATTTTTCTTCCCAGTGTGAACTGCTTTTCATAAGCAACTAGTAATGGTGAGTGAGTTAAGTAAATTTACCTGTCTTGGTTCCTTTGTGTGTAAAATAAGGGAGTGGTTCTCCAATTTTAGGTTGCATAAGAATTACCCACAAGTAACTCTGCTTATTAAAACTTATACTGCGGGCCCCACCCTCAGAATTTGAATCAATAGTTCTGGGGTGGGGCCAGAGATTTGTATATCCAACAAGTGCCCAGGGGATAATGATGATGGTGTCCAGGAAACCACATCAGTGGTCACTGGTACAGAACCAGTATAATGAGGAGATTGAGTTGTGGAATTTCCAAATCACCTCTGGCATCAGATATCTAAATTATTGCGTATTTTTCATATTCATATGCATATTCATATTGTGTATTTTTTATATTCATATGCATGAGTGTTCTAGGCTTTATCAAAACTCTATGATTTTTTTGAAAGAGAAAAGGACTCTCACCTACCACTTGTAAGTAATTATTTCCATTTGTAGCTTATGTGAGTTCCATACTTACTCCTCTTTGAAGAGACAAGGATTTTTAAAAGGATATCCATAAAAGACAGTCAGATTGACATCTAATACTTTATTGTTTTTTCCTTTTCTTTTACATAGTTCCATATGTGTTGAAGAGCTGTGCAGAGTTCATAGAGACTCACGGCATTGTAGATGGAATCTACCGGCTTTCGGGAGTCACCTCAAACATACAAAGGCTAAGGTAAACAAAAAGAAAGCCCCAGAATTCTCCCATGATCCTCCCTCTGTCCATATCTCTGTTGGCAGGTCTTGGGAGTACTAAAAACCTGAAGGAATGGTGGGTACAGTGGTGGTGGCCAGAGATCAAATGGTACTGCTTTCAGATGCCCAGTGTTCTTAATCTTAAGGGAGAAGCTCCCCAGCCTGAGAAAATTCTTTTCAGCAATAGGTTCTCGAATTTTTAATCTGTTTCTTTGTCTTGAGCAAGGTTTAGTCTTAGGCAGTTTTGATAACTCCAATGATCTGAATGACAAGTTAGGAAAACGTGGTGATGTACTACCATTCCCTTGCCTACCCAGAAGCTCGGGTAGATCGGATCTCCTTAGGTAGTGTTCAGAGCTGGGGATGGCTGTGTTTTCCAGTTAACACACATTTGATATTTTACTGGGTTGAGAAATCAGAAGTCTGCATGATTGTTCATTTATTTGATACTGGTATTTTTAAAATTACTAATGGATAAACCATTTCTAATTCTATGGGTATGTCCTAAACATTTAAAAGAAATTTCTATCACATTAAGAGGGCAAAAACCTTTTAACACAACAGAGATATATGTTTAGAGTATATATAGCATATGTACACAGTTCATATAAAGTATATACTTTTCTATGACTAAAGCAATAGGTTTATGTATTTTGCATAATATTTTTAATGCCAAAACAAATTCATTTGGTGGTTATTTTTAAATACTTATAATATGTTCTTTAGTTATGTTCTTATAATATATTCTTTAGTTATGTTGACTTTTAAAACCATAAAAACATTCTTATTATAAGAATAATGTGTAAATGAATAGGTTATGAAGATAATTCAGCTCTCTTCTTCTTCCTCCTATTTGGTTTCTGTCCCTCCCTTCCAAACCTCACTTAAAATTAAATTTTATCAAATGAATAAAACATCCTTTTTATGCCTGGTGAAACAATGACTCTTAAGAAAAATAATTTGTTGATTACAGCCATGGATTTTAATGAATATACCTGTTTACATCATTTCACTCATATGCCATTTTTTAGATTTATTTTAAAAAACAAGTACTTTTTTTCCTTCATGGTGCTAAAGATTGAACCCAGGAATTCCCACCCATATGCTGGGCGAGTGCTCTCCCACTAAGCCACACCTCCAGCTTCTAACAGCAGGTAGTTCTTTTTTTTTTTTTTTTTTCTGGTACCAGGGATTAAACTCAGAGGGCACTCAACCGCTGAACCACATCCCCAGCCTTATCTTGTATTTTATTTAGAGTCAGGGTCTCACTGAGTTGCCTAACACCTTGTGATTGATAAGGCTGGCTTTGAACTCGAGATCCTCCTGCCTCAGCCTCCCAAGCCACTGGGATTACAGGCATGTACCACTGTACCCAGCAGGTAGTTCTTAATGATTTACTCTTAGCTCTGAAGTGCATTACCCACTATTGGTGTTCTGGAAAGACATTTTGGTGGTGACAAATTCTTCTTCATTTAAGAACTGGCCTTAGCTTTAACAAGAGAAATTTGGGGGCTAAATAAATAAGCTCTACATTATTCTCCCTCTGTTTTCTTAGAGCATACACCTAAGAATCCATAAAGCCATGGTGCAGCTTTCCTTTCAAGGCCCCATTGCTTGCTTTCAGTTCCTGGCAGCATCAGAGATTCCCTTGTCCTTTTCAAGGGACAGAACTGCAATATAGAATGTGCAGTGGGCTGTTTTGAGAATGCTGCTTCTGAGAGTCCTGTTGACCTTGTCACTCCCTTACTGACCAAGTGAACACTCTCAAGAAGCCTAACTTCTATATGAATCATCATCATTTTTCAACCAATTTTTAACTTCTAACTACATATTATTTGAGGCAGTATATTCATGTAACCTTTTCAGGAAATGTTTTCTGATTGTAAACCAGGTCTGGAATCAGATGGTGTTCCCAGACATCCCACTGTGGAGTGTTTAAGATATTTATAAGCTCATATATACCATGGGAATCACCATCAGGCAGCCTCAAAGGGTCCATTGAGCATCAATGAGAGAGTTGATTAAGTTGTTTGTGACATCAGTATATGGAGATGAGTGATAATGAACTGACTGATCCACCCTGGTTTGGGTCTCTCTTATAAGAACGGGAATTTCATTTGAGCAATGTTTTGGAAAAATACTGAAATCTCAATAGGCCCTTTTGGCAAATTGTTTTCATATTTCCCCATGCTAATAACCGAGATTGCAGATAGAATGCCACAGATAATCCACTTGTAAATGAGCTTTACGTCTTTCCAATCACAGCAGATTTTGCAAGGAAGAGTCACACCTGAAGTTGAAGCCTTCCCATTACTTCCTTGGGCCTGGAGTAGATTCAAGGTCAAAAATACAGTTGGATCACATTGTAGGCTCTTTTTACCCCTCAGCTGCCAAGCAGTTGCTGACATGGAACGCATGTTCCCTGGGATTGTTATGTCTCCGTCTGTGTTGTTTCAGGCAAGAGTTTGGCTCAGATCAATGTCCAGATCTGACAAGGGAAGTATACCTCCAGGACATCCACTGTGTGGGCTCCCTCTGCAAGCTCTACTTCAGGGAGCTGCCCAACCCCCTCCTGACTTATGAGCTGTATGGGAAATTCACGGTGAGTGTTTGGATTTCCATCATGGTTGCTGGGTGGGATGCATGAAAGGGCTAAGGAGAGTTTCAGCACTAAAATAACAATAATAGTACTCACCAGCTGGCTGACATTATCTTAGCATGGTGATGGAAGTTGGATGGTATGGTAAGGAACTTAAGGTAGTGGAACTGTCCGCTAAATTTTTCTTTCTTGAATTTTCAGAATCATGTTGTTTGTTTTAAGAGCTGAATTAAATTATCGCCATGTTTATTCAACTGATGGGCCTCATTGTATAGGGAGGAAACTGAGAACCAGAGAAGAGAGGTGGCTGGCCCAAGGTCACTCAGCAGAGGCAGGACAGGAACCTGAGACCCCTGATGCTAGGCATGCACTGCTCATTCATTTCCATCAGGCTATTCCTTCTGTTTCTTTGGGGGGTTGGAGAAAGAGGTGAGTAGGTAGGGAAGGGATCAAGAACAAACAAAACTCAAGAGGATAGGTCAGAAAGCTGGGAAGAGAAAAGAAACTGAGAATAGCAGTCCAGAGGAAGCACAGGAAAGGTCAGTTTATTGGGTTGGTGGGCAGGATGAATGGACAAGAGCAAAACTCCTATCAAGTAGCTATATGGTCACCAAATTGGACACCCATGGGCAAGTTAAAAAGAGAATAAATGCTTAAAGGATGTCTGCAGAAATATCATTAAAAATAGGGCTTGAACATTGTGTTGCATGAGTAGAAGTATAGAGTGGGCAGAATTGGATTTACCCAAGGTTGGTGTTCCGCTAGCAAAAGAGGGGAGAGGGAGACTTGAGAATATACCAGGGCACCATTGACACAACTGACCATGGGATTTAGTCTGGACAGGAAGAGAAACAAGAGTATAAGGTGATGAGTAACACTAAAGAAGTGGATCAAAGGATTCTTCATCTCAGTAGGTCAATGGAGTGATGGAGAAGGGGAGTCACAGGGAGAAGTTTGAAATTGAGAATATGGAGGAGTTGTAGTTATTGGTAAGGACCAGATCTAGGTTCTAATAGTGAGAGAGGATCATGCTCATAGCCCCTGTAATTAACATCTTTTTAAAATATTTTTTTCATGGTACTGGGGATTGAAACCAGGTCCTTATACATACTAGGCAAGCACTCTACCACTGAGCCATCCACCAGTCCTTTGTATCTTTTTATTTTTATTTTTATTTTTGAGACAGGTTCTCACCAAGTGGCCAGGCTGGCCTTGAGCTTGTGATCCTCCTCCCTCAGCCTCCCTAATTGCTGGGATTACAGGCGTGCGCCACCATCAGGTTCTGTGGTTTACTTATTTTGAGCATATGAAAAGTTCTTCCATTTTAAATGATAAAGGAATAAAAAAATGCTACTTCTTTTTTTAAAATTTGTTCTACTTAGTTGTACATGACAGCAGAATGCATTTGAATTCATTGTACACAAATGGAGCACAACATTTCAATTCTCTGGTTGCAACATTTCAATTCTCTGGTTGTACACAGTGTAGAGATACAGCATTCCCGCAATCATACACATACCTAGGGTAATTGACCATCTCATTCCACCATCTTTCCTACCCTCATAACCCCTCCCCATCCTCCCCTTTGCCCAATCCAAAGTTCCTCCATTCTTCCCATGCCCCCTGCCCCATCATAATCAGAGAAAACATTTGGCCTTTGGTTTGGGAGGATTGACTTACTTTGCTTAGCACAATATTCTCCAACTCCATCCATTTACCTGAAAATGCCATTATTTTATTCTCTTTTTATCTTAAGAATAATGCTATTTCTTAAAATCAGGCTTGGGTCTTTAAATATGTACTTAAAAGTTTTCATTGATACTAGGAAATATTCATGATGATAAATTCAAACAGACCCAGATACACAGCTTTAATTTTAAGAAGGATCAAAAGAAAGGATGCTTAAAAGACTGACACATTTATTTTAGTGATGGGATCATACATCATTTTTCTTGCTTCACATTAACTTTCCTAATTTTATCCACTAAAAATACATTAATGTTTTGATGAAAAAAAAGAGACCAACTCACACATGCAAAAAAAAACCTTAGGTGTAAGCATTGACCACTACAGAAGTCAACACATACATGCTGTTGTAGAGTTGTCTGTGGTTAGGGACCCCACTGCTCGAGGTCTGAGGCAGAAGGTAAACAAGTCTCCAAACTGAAGGGCCAAGTCATCAACAAAGGCAGCTCTTGCCCTTGGAACCACAGGAGAATTTTCCTGGGAACCAAGAAGAAAGGTTGGGAGCATCATTTGTGTCTCCCAGACTATAATCAATGTCACCATTTGCATTTCCTCCTTTAAAAGAAATCATAGTAGACAATTTGAGAAATGGAAGAAAGTAAAAAGGAACCCTTGGTCTTTCCTTAAGGACCAAAGACTATAGTGTTAACATGTTCTGAGTGTTTCCTTCAGTCTTTTGTTCTTTGCATAGTGTTTTTGTTGTGTTAAGTTTTTCCAGATCAAAATAAAAGTGTGTTTTTTAAAAAGTAATAATCCTAGCAGCTCGGGAGCCTGAGATAAGAGGATCGCGGGTTCGAAGCCAGCCTCATCAATGGTAGGGCACTAAGCAACTCAGTGAGGCCCTGTCTCTAAATAAAATACAAAATAGGGCTGGGGATGTGGTTCAATGTTTGAGTGCCCCTGAGTTCAATCCTCAGTACAAAAAAAAAAAAGTAATATAAAGGAAGTATAAAGGATAAGGTATAAATCACCTGTGGAAATCCCACACTCAAGTGTATCTGCCATCTTCTCTTTCACTCTTTAGTAGAGGTTCTCTCTCTCTCTCTCTCTCTCTCTCTCTCTCTCACACACACACACACACACACACACACACACACACTTTTTCTTTTCAATACCATATATTCCTGTTTTGGAACATTTTCATTTCAACAATGTGACAATCTTTTCATGTTAATAAATGTAAAGAGACACTGTTGTCACAGAGAATTCTTTCACATGGGCCATGGTTTCTTTATTTCTTTCTTTCTTTTTTTTTTTTCTTTTTCTTTTTTTTTTTTTTTGAACTAGGGCTTGAAACCAGGGTTTCTTAACCACTGAGCCCCTTTTTTATATTTTATTTAGAGACAGAGTCTTACTGAGTTACTTAGGCCTCTCTGTGTCTATGAGGCTGGCTTTGAACTTGTGATCCTTCTGATGGTTCATGATTTCTGAAACCAGTCTCCCACTGATGGACATTTAGGTTTTTGGTTTCTCAATACCTTGCTTTTATTAAGACTGTTATAATAAACATTTATGCACATTTACGTTTTTGTCTATTTTCACCCTTGGGGGGAGGAAATCATTGAAGCAGATTAGCTGAGTAAAAAGTTCTTACTTAAAATTCTGTTCCCTATTTTCAAACTGTCCTCCAGAGAAACAGGAATGTGCTTTCCTTGCAGCTTTGCCAATACTGGATATTTTCCATTTATTAAATTGTTCGCCAGTCTGAATCAACTAAAAACAATACCTTATTGCTATTTTAATTGTAAGACTCCATTGTTTTCTACATATTTGTGATCCTCTTGTCGGTATAATAGTATCATCTTTGAATGTGATAGAATATCATCATGTAAATGAATCAAGTGAGTCTAATTTCTCCTAAATGCTATCTATTCTATTGTAGTCAGAGGTTGATAGGAATTCTTATCTAGAAACTTTAGAAATATGGTTTCTTCTTAGGTCTTATCTACAGGCTAAGAACAAAACGCACATTTCTCTCTTCTTGCTCCCTTCCCTGATAGGACTGGTCATTTTGTTCTCTCACAGCAATTGAAATATACAAAAGCAACATTTTTGTCAACTTGTCTTCAAATTTGAAGAAAATGACATTGTACTTAAGCAGTGTATTGACACTAAAAAATAAAATAGGAATGTTTTGTTACGAATTCTACAGAAGTAGGACCTAGCAAAGTTAACCATGTTTCAGAATTTATCATTTAATAGATTTCTTTGATCACAGTAATGAAGATAATATAAACAACCTTCAGGGATATGAAAATAGCTGTGTTACATTGTTGTGCATTCTCACAATAATTATTTAAATCTACTTGCTCAGCTGCAATCAAAGAAGAGAATGGAATGAGAGAATTAGAAAAAAACATTGGTGGAATAATAGTAACCATAATAGCTGCTATTTGTTGAGTGCTTACTATATCATAAACTCATTATAAGTTTTATTTCATTTAATCTTTAAAATAACTCTATGAAGTAGATTTATTGTCTGTTGTATAGATGAGTAAACTGAGGCTCAGTGAGACTTGTCTGGGTGGTACAAGTGGTAAGTGGGGGTAAAGATTAAAATTGTCTCATTAATCCCATGCCACTTATAAGCAGTGATCACTTGAGTAGGTAGTAAATAACATAATGCCTATGTTTTATAACATAAATAACATAATAAAAGAAGTACTGAAGGAAGAGTTCCATAAACAGTGTTAGGATAATTGCTGTTGGAGAGGAGGAAATCAAATTGAATTCTTACCATTTAGCAGATTTCAGGGTACAGAAGAATAACAATTAAAGCAAAGGAAAAAATCCCAAAGACAAATTTAACCAACTAAACTATTTGTACGTTATTTTTTCTACATTAAAAAACACAGTAAATATCAAGACATGTAACAGTGGTAGATCACTTCCTTAGCATGTGTGAGGCCCTGGGTTCAATCCCCAGTACTGCAAATAATAATGATAATAATAATAATTATTATTATTTAAGAAAAAATACATTAGTAAAATTAAAAAGCAAGTGGCTAACTATAAAAACTATTTATAATAAAATGACAAAAGAGATTAATATTCTTTATATAGAACTCCTACTTATCAATGTAAAGAGAAAAATCACATAACACTCCTCTAAACAAAGAAGCAAAGAACTTTAACAATTCAGAGAAAAAGAAAATTATTATAAAATTGTTGATTATTAGGAAAATATATTGCTTATTTTAAAAAATTTTTAAACATTATCATTTCATGCTGGTAAGCTCATAATAAGACTGACTCTT